TGTGTAAGAGTGTGTGAGAGTGTGTAAGAGTGTGTAAGAGTGTGTAAGAGTGCACTTGTTTTCAACTCCTAGTGGGGTCCATAACCTGAGATTCCACTCACGTCATGGGGACTGGTTTTACGTGGTGGGGCCCGAACACCGGACCCCACTGGTCCAAGCTTAATAATCAATGGGTAATGCTTTTCTAACGGTCCTTATGCAGTCTCTGTAAAAATATGGAAAGGACCCCTGGAGGTTTACTTTCCTGAAAAAAGTGTGTTATGTGTCGGAACCCTGGTGGTGGGTTGCGGATATCAGGGGGCACTGGGCATTCAGTCCAGGGGAGCATCTGGGCGCACACAGGCTGGAGCATCATGGGCGCACAGGGTGGGCCATCATGGGCAGCACAAAGGTGGGCCTCAGGGCAGCACACGGGATCAGGCAGCTAGAAAAGGGTCAAGTGTGTGGTTCATTAGGCTGCAGCCAATCACAGAGCAGCACACTGAAGCGCACGCTTACAAACCACTGGTAAGTGCTGACTACAAGTCATGACTTCAAATTGTTATATAGAATGATTACAAATTATTTGTTGTTTGTGCAGCTTAGTCAAGAGTCCCTAATTGATGAAGTCGACTCAGATTCTGACGATTTAACTGTCAAGAAGAAACCTGTAAAAAGTATGGAAAAAGAAAAATCAAAAACACTTTTCTTCAAGACTCGGAAAGTGACAAACCAAAGGCAAATAAGATTGTTATCATGCAGCTGCAAAAGAAGAAAAATGGGGGGCGAGTTTACAGCAAGAGACACTTCTGCCTCTACTGTTCAATGTCCTGCCACAAAATGTCCCGTCATTTGACTAGAAAACATGGAAATGAAAGTGACGTAGCCAGAGCATTGGCTCTACCTGTGAAATCTAAAGCACGTAAACTTCAGTTTGATTTGATCAGGAATAGTGGAAACCGTGAGCACAATTTTGAGGTTTTAAAGGCCGGCATTGGAACTTTAGTCCCAGCTAAACAGCCAAATTGCCCAGTTAAATCCAGTGAGTTTTTGCACTGTATAGACTGTGGGGCATTGCTTAAGCGAAAGTCGCTGTGGAGGCATGTGGCCAGGTGCCGGCTTTCACAGAAAGATGCCCAGGCTAAACCAGGCTAAACCAGGTAGAAGTAGGGTCCAGTCCCTTTGCTCCCTAGCCCAGCCTGTACCGGAGGGCATCAGCAAAAAGCTGTGGTCTTTAATTTCGGCAATGCATCAGGATGAGGTCACGGGTGTTGTCAAAGCAGAAAAGGGGATTCTGAGACTCGGAGAGCACCTGTACTTAAAACACGGGCATGATAAGACTAAGCATGATTACATTAGGCAGAAAATGAGAGAAGTCGGTAGGTTAATTAACGAAGCAAAAACTGCAGGGAAACTGAAAACAATTAAGGATTTCTTTATTCCTTCCAACTTTAACCATGTGATTGATGCAGTCAAGTCTGTGGCTGGATATGATGAGGAAACAAATCAATACAAGACTCCATCCTTGGCCCTCAAACTCGGCCATAGCCTCAGAAAGCTAGCAGATATTCTTGAATGTGACTCAAAAATGGAGCATTGTGTTGATGAACTATTTATTAAAAACCTCCAACGAAGCCGGCTGCTTTTTGAGAAGAGGTGGGACGTCTGTGTTTCTTCTGCTGCCCTACAGACCCTCCGGCAAGCCAAGTGGAACACTCCGGACCCTGCTCCCTCTGACTGAGGACGTTAGAGCCATGCATGCACATATTGAGGTATGTCGACCTGAATATGTGCAAACCCTAATAAGTGAGCCAACGTCTAAGCATTGGTCTAAACTGGCAGTTTTGACTCTTTGTGAGGTCATCATTTTCAATCGAAGAAGGGAAGGTGAGGTTTCAAAGATGCCACTGACAGCCTTTACCTTAAGAAGTAAGACTGGGATCCATTCTGACATTGCTCTGGGACTGTCCCAACTTGAGAAAAAGCTGTGTCAGCATTTTCAACGCATTGAAATTAAAGGGAAAAGAAGTCGGAAAGTGCCGGTTCTTTTGACTCCTGAAATGATTGCTTCGATGGAGGTGCTGGTGGAGAACAGAAGGGCCTGTTCCATCTCTGACCATAACCCATACTTCTTTTCCCGCCCGGGCGCAGACACCCACATCAGGGGATCAGACTCCCTACGCCAGGTAGCCAAAGAATGTGGTGCGGTGCATCCAGAGATGCTATCCTCAACCAAACTTAGAAAGCACATAGCTACTATGTCTACAGTTCTCAATATGAAAGAGAATGAGATGGACATACTTGCCAACTTCCTCGGCCATGACATTCGCATCCACAGGCAATATTACAGACTACCAGAGGGGGCGCTGGAGCTGGCCAAAATCAGCAAAGTGTTGATGGCCATGGAGCAGGGAAGAGTGACGGAATTCAAAGGAAAGAGCCTCGACCAGATACAAATTGAGCCTGAAGGTAATTCTTGATATTATTAAAATATGTATGATTTTTTTCCCCTAAAGGCCACTTGTATTTTTATTTTCTGTGCGACAGGGAGAGCAGTAGAGATCCTCTCACAAACGGACGGGCTAAAAGAAACTTCAAGCGGAGAACCTTCAACCATTCATCCAGATGCACCCCATGGTAGTGGCAGTGCCCCTTCTGGTAAGTGTACCAGGTGGGGGATTACAGCCAGGCTGCTTGGTCCTCACCCTGGGAGTGTATATTGCTAATATATTTTTATTTCTCTCCCTAGAACGTGTAAGAAAGCCATGGTCTGCATCTGAGGTGAAGGCTGTGGAGAAGACCATGACACCTTTCATACAGACTGGAAAGGTCCCTGGGAAGTCTCACTGCCTGGCCTGCATTAATGCCTCACCAGATGACCTTAGACATCGGACATGGAGTGGCATTAAATTCTATGTCAAAAATAGAATCACTGCAATTCGAAAAAAAAATCTAAAATAAAATTCCTTTAAAATAGTTGTTTGGTTTCTATTGACTGTTTTGTATTACTTAAAGTAGTCCCAGTAAAAAAAGATTATGTCTATGGGTCCCATTCTGAACGGCCCTGTCAAAGGGACCCACCAGGTAACAAAAACGTGTATGTGTGTGTGAGAGTGTGTAAGAGTGTGTAAAAGTGTGTAAAAGTGTGTGAGAGTGTGTGAGAGTGTGTAAGAGTGTGTGAGAGTGTGTAAGAGTGTGTAAGAGTGTGTAAGAGTGTGTGAGAGTGTGTAAGAGTGTGTGAGAGTGTGTGAGAGTGTGTGAGAGTGTGTGAGAGTGTGTAAGAGTGTGTAAGAGTGTGTAAGAGTGTGTAAGAGTGTGTGAGAGTGTGTAAGAGTGTGTAAGAGTGTGTAAGAGTGTGTAAGAGTGTGTGAGAGTGTGTAAGAGTGTGTAAGAGTGTGTAAGAGTGTGTAAGAGTGTGTAAGAGTGTGTGAGAGTGTGTAAGAGTGTGTAAGAGTGTGTAAGAGTGTGTGAGAGTGTGTGAGAGTGTGTGAGAGTGTGTGAGAGTGTGTGTGAGTGTGTGAGAGTGTGTGAGAGTGTGTGAGAGTGTGTGAGAGTGTGTAAGAGTGTGTGAGAGTGTGTGAGAGTGTGTGAGAGTGTGTGAGAGTGTGTGAGAGTGTGTAAGAGTGTGTAAGAGTGTGTAAGAGTGTGTAAGAGTGTGTGAGAGTGTGTTAGAGTGTGTGAGAGTGTGTGAGAGTGTGTGAGAGTGTGTGAGAGTGTGTGAGAGTGTGTGAGAGTGTGTGAGAGTGTGTGAGAGTGTGTAAGAGTGTGTAAGAGTGTGTGAGAGTGTGTTAGAGTGTGTGAGAGTGTGTGAGAGTGTGTGAGAGTGTGTGAGAGTGTGTGAGAGTGTGTGAGAGTGTGTGAGAGTGTGTGAGAGTGTGTGAGAGTGTGTGAGAGTGTGTAAGAGTGTGTGAGAGTGTGTGAGAGTGTGTTAGAGTGTGTGAGAGTGTGTTAGAGTGTGTGAGAGTGTGTGAGAGTGTGTGAGAGTGTGTGAGTGTGTAGAGTGTGTGAGAGTGTGTGAGAGTGTGTGAGAGTGTGTGAGAGTGTGTGAGAGTGTGTGAGAGTGTGTGAGAGTGTGTGAGAGTGTGTGAGAGTGTGTGTAGAGTGTGTAAGAGTGTGTAAGAGTGTGTGAGAGTGTGTGAGAGTGTGTGAGAGTGTGTGAGAGTGTGTGAGAGTGTGTGAGAGTGTGTAAGAGTGTGTAAGAGTGTGTAAGAGTGTGTAAGAGTGTGTGAGTGTGTGTAAGAGTGTGTAAGAGTGTGTAAGAGTGTGTAAGAGTGTGTAAGAGTGTGTGAGAGTGTGTTAGAGTGTGTGAGAGTGTGTGAGAGTGTGTAGAGTGTGTGAGAGTGTGTGAGAGTGTGTGAGAGTGTGTGAGGTGTGTGTGAGAGTGTGTTAGAGTGTGTGAGAGTGTGTGAGAGTGTGTGAGAGTGTGTGAGAGTGTGTGAGAGTGTGTGAGAGTGTGTGAGAGTGTGTGAGAGTGTGTGAGAGTGTGTGAGAGTGTGTTAGAGTGTGTGAGAGTGTGTGAGAGTGTGTGAGAGTGTGTGAGAGTGTGTAAGAGTGTGTGTCTGGTCTATAAATAGCAGTTCGAGGAGCACGGAGCTTTGTCTCGTTCACCACAACATTCCTGTTCTCTGAGGCAAATGTTACAACTTTCCTTTTTTGTCTTTGTCATGTTCACACTAAATGTGGTTCAAGTCCTTTTATGGACTATTCCTCACATTTCTGCGGCTAATCCCCCCCCCCCCCCCCCCCTACTGCGGAGGAGTAGTATGGATCAGTCCAAAAACACTGAATCCTGCTTTTCCAGAGTCAGGTCTAGTTCTGCTGATCTCAGTCTCATTTATCTGTTTCTGTGTGAACTCATTAAGCGGGTTAAGAAGTATGTAATGTTTATTTATATAGCACATTTTTAGCACTTTACAGAGTTCAGAGTCAGATATTGTTCCATTCTCTCCACACGGTGATGAAATGAGACCGGAACACACCGGTCCATCAAAGCCTCCGACCAAACACCCTCCACTCACTCATTACAGTAAGAAGAAAAGATGGCGATGGTTTTCGGAGCCGGATCCAAACGCCATCAGGTCTCGTCTCTTCCGTCGAGCTGGCGTCTCATTTAGGTCGCCACAAACCGTTGCTACGGAGACGGTTGCTAAGGGAGCGTAGGCGACGACCATCGCACTGTACTCTCCTCCTGCAGCGTGTTTTTCACACACTACATTTGAACCTCTCTGTGTTCTCGACCCACACCGTTTACACACGTTCCCCACACGCCGCCCCCACAGAACCAGCCGTGTTCTTTACCCAGAATCCTTCACTCTGCTCCACAGGCCTCTGCTTCTGCCCCGGGTCCTGATCTAAAGGCCCCACATAATGGCTTTAGATGTGTTAGTGTGAGGACTGAGGTTCTCTGACGGTTTCATGAACTGTTGCTCTACTTCCTCATTCCAAAGGACACATTTCTGTCATTTTATAAAACATCATTTGGTTTTGTCCCGTTGGAGAATCTGGTTAAGGCTCAGTCAGAAGGAGCTCAGAGTAACGCACACTTTGCCAAATTTGAGCCATTTCCAACTTTTTTTTCATCACTTTTTGCAGTGATTCAGATTCAGACTTTATTTATCCCTCCAGTGGCAATTCATTTGAGCAGCGCATAAAGAATTAAAATAATAATAAAAATAACATAAAAACAGAGTAAATAAGTGATTTACTGTGTTTCTGTGTTTGTTCTAATTTAAAGGTCCCATAATATATTCTTTAAACATAATTAAAGTGCTATTTTGCTTCACACGCTCTGTGCCGTTTTCATTGGTAGCTCTCTGCAGTAGCTCTCTGTAGCAGCTCTGCAGAAAAGGAGACCCCTGCTTTAGTTAGAAAGAGGTCTTTCTCTTTCATTCTTGAGACGCAGCGAAAAGCTTCGGTTCAAAGTGACGTGGAAACAAGCTGCAGGAGTTTAGAGAAGGTTAAAGATCACACCTCTACGTGTACGGGACCTTTAACAAATGGGCAGTAGCTCTCTGCAGTAGCTCTGTACAGTAGCTCTCTGCAGTAGCTCTCTGTGCAGTAGCTCTCTGCAGTAGCTCTGTGCAGTCGCTCTGTGCAGTCGCTCTCTGCAGTAGCTCTGTGCAGTCGCTCTCTGCAGTAGCTCTCTGTGCAGTAGCTCTCTGCAGTAGCTCTGTGCAGTCGCTCTGTGCAGTCGCTCTCTGCAGTAGCTCTGTGCAGTAGCTCTCTGTGCAGTAGCTCTGTACAGTCACTCTGTACAGTAGCTCTGTGCAGTAGCTCTGTACAGTAGCTCTGTGCAGTAGCTCTGTGCAGTCGCTCTGTGCAGTCGCTCTGTACAGTAGCTCTGTGCAGTCGCTCTGTGCAGTAGCTCTGTACAGTAGCTCTGTACAGTAGCTCTGTGCAGTAGCTCTGTGCAGTAGCTCTGTGCAGTAGCTCTGTACAGTAGCTCTGTGCAGTAGCTCTGTACAGTAGCTCTGTGCGGTAGCTCTGTGCAGTAGCTCTGTGCAGTAGCTCTGTGCAGTCACTCTGTACAGTAGCTCTGTACAGTAGCTCTGTGCAGTAGCTCTGTGCAGTCACTCTGTACAGTAGCTCTGTACAGTAGCTCTGTGCAGTAGCTCTGTGCAGTAGCTCTGTGCAGTCACTCTGTACAGTAGCTCTGTACAGTAGCTCTGTGCAGTAGCTCTGTGCAGTAGCTCTGTGCAGTCACTCTGTACAGTAGCTCTGTGCAGTAGCTCTGTGCAGTAGCTCTGTGCAGTCACTCTGTACAGTAGCTCTGTACAGTAGCTCTGTGCAGTAGCTCTGTGCAGTCACTCTGTGCAGTAGCTCTGTACAGTAGCTCTGTGCAGTCGCTCTGTGCAGTAGCTCTGTACAGTAGCTCTGTACAGTAGCTCTGTGCAGTAGCTCTGTGCAGTCACTCTGTGCAGTAGCTCTGTACAGTAGCTCTGTGCAGTAGCTCTGTACAGTAGCTCTGTGCAGTCACTCTGTGCAGTAGCTCTGTACAGTAGCTCTGTGCAGTAGCTCTGTACAGTAGCTCTGTGCAGTCACTCTGTGCAGTAGCTCTGTGCAGTCACTCTGTGCAGTAGCTCTGTGCAGTAGCTCTGTACAGTAGCTCTGTGCAGTAGCTCTGTGCAGTAGCTCTGTGCAGTAGCTCTCTGCAGTAGCTCTGTGCAGTCGCTCTCTGTGCAGTAGCTCTGTGCAGTCGCTTTCTGCAGTAGCTCTGTACAGTAGTTCTGTGCAGTAGCTCTGTGCAGTAGCTCTCTGCAGTAGCTCTGTGCAGTCGCTCTCTGTGCAGTCGCTCTCTGCAGTAGCTCTGTGCAGTCGCTCTCTGTGCAGTAGCTCTGTGCAGTCGCTCTCTGCAGTAGCTCTGTACAGTAGCTCTGTGCAGTAGCTCTGTGCAGTCGCTCTCTGCAGTAGCTCTGTGCAGTAGCTCTGTGCAGTAGCTCTGTGCAGTAGCTCTGTGCAGTAGCTCTGTACAGTAGCTCTGTGCAGTCGCTCTCTGTGCAGTCGCTCTCTGTGCAGTAGCTCTGTGCAGTCGCTCTCTGCAGTCGCTCTGTGCAGTAGCTCTGTGCAGTCGCTCTCTGTGCAGTCGCTCTCTGTGCAGTCGCTCTCTGCAGTAGCTCTGTACAGTAGCTCTGTGCAGTCGCTCTCTGTGCAGTCGCTCTCTGTGCAGTCGCTCTCTGCAGTCGCTCTGTGCAGTCGCTCTCTGTGCAGTAGCTCTGTGCAGTCGCTCTCTGTGCAGTCGCTCTCTGTGCAGTCGCTCTGTGCAGTAGCTCTGTACAGTAGCTCTGTGCAGTAGCTCTGTGCAGTAGCTCTGTGCAGTAGCTCTGTACAGTAGCTCTGTACAGTAGCTCTGTGCAGTAGCTCTGTGCAGTAGCTCTGTGCAGTAGCTCTCTGCAGTAGCTCTGTGCAGTCGCTCTCTGTGCAGTAGCTCTGTGCAGTCGCTTTCTGCAGTAGCTCTGTACAGTAGTTCTGTGCAGTAGCTCTGTGCAGTAGCTCTCTGCAGTAGCTCTGTGCAGTCGCTCTCTGTGCAGTAGCTCTGTGCAGTCGCTCTCTGCAGTAGCTCTGTACAGTAGCTCTGTGCAGTAGCTCTGTGCAGTCGCTCTCTGCAGTAGCTCTGTGCAGTAGCTCTGTGCAGTAGCTCTGTACAGTAGCTCTGTGCAGTCGCTCTCTGTGCAGTCGCTCTCTGTGCAGTAGCTCTGTGCAGTCGCTCTCTGCAGTCGCTCTGTGCAGTAGCTCTGTGCAGTCGCTCTCTGTGCAGTCGCTCTCTGTGCAGTAGCTCTGTGCAGTCGCTCTCTGCAGTAGCTCTGTACAGTAGCTCTGTGCAGTAGCTCTGTGCAGTCGCTCTCTGCAGTCGCTCTGTGCAGTAGCTCTGTGCAGTAGCTCTGTACAGTAGCTCTGTGCAGTCGCTCTCTGTGCAGTCGCTCTCTGTGCAGTAGCTCTGTGCAGTCGCTCTCTGCAGTAGCTCTGTACAGTAGCTCTGTGCAGTCGCTCTCTGTGCAGTCGCTCTCTGTGCAGTCGCTCTCTGCAGTCGCTCTGTGCAGTCGCTCTCTGTGCAGTAGCTCTGTGCAGTCGCTCTCTGCAGTAGCTCTGTACAGTAGCTCTGTGCAGTCGCTCTCTGTGCAGTCGCTCTCTGTGCAGTCGCTCTCTGCAGTCGCTCTGTGCAGTCGCGCTCTGTGCAGTCGCTCTGTGCAGTCGCTCTCTGCAGTAGCTCTGTGCAGTCGCTCTCTGTGCAGTCGCTCTGTGCAGTCGCTCTCTGCAGTAGCTCTGTGCAGTAGCTCTGTGCAGTAGCTCTGTGCAGTAGCTCTGTGCAGTAGCTCTGTACAGTAGCTCTGTGCAGTAGCTCTGTGCAGTAGCTCTGTGCAGTAGCTCTGTGCAGTAGCTCTGTGCAGTAGCTCTGTGCAGTAGCTCTCTGCAGTAGCTCTGTGCAGTCGCTCTCTGTGCAGTAGCTCTGTGCAGTCGCTCTCTGCAGTAGCTCTCTGCGGTAGCTCTCTGCAGTAGCTCTGTGCAGTCGCCCTGTGCAGTCGCTCTGTGCAGTCGCTCTCTGCAGTAGCTCTGTGCAGTAGCTCTGTGCAGTAGCTCTCTGCAGTAGCTCTGTGCAGTAGCTCTGTGCAGTAGCTCTCTGCAGTAGCTCTGTGCAGTAGCTCTGTGCAGTAGCTCTGTGCAGTAGCTCTGTGCAGTAGCTCTCTGCAGTCGCTCTGTGCAGTCGCTCTCTGCAGTAGCTCTGTGCAGTAGCTCTGTGCAGTAGCTCTCTGCAGTAGCTCTGTGCAGTAGCTCTGTGCAGTAGCTCTGTGCAGTAGCTCTCTGCAGTAGCTCTGTGCAGTAGCTCTGTGCAGTAGCTCTGTGCAGTAGCTCTCTGCAGTAGCTCGCTGCAGTAGCTCTCTGTCTTCCTCGTGTAAAGAGACGGGTCACATTTTGTAACTTAAGTGTGAAAGTAAAATATGAAACACTGCTTTGAAGTTTAGGCGCCACACTTCAAAGAGAAGGATGTCAAAGAGTGAAAGAGCAGAGGGAAGAATGAAGCGTGTCTTTTCTAATCTCTCACATATCATCAACAACAAACAGCAAGAGTTTTCTTTCCACAAATCAGTAACTTCAGAGGAATACCTTCTGTGGAGGTCCAGCTCTTCTGCAGTGGGACCATTTTGAACCGAAGACCCGTGTCTGTGCGGCGTGGGGCCTGTGGAAGGACATAGGTTCAGGACTCTGATCATCCCACAGTTACAGAGGATATTAATGCAGCAGTGTTAAAAATGTCACGTGACTCCGCCCCCCACGTCACCATGGTAACACCGCAGCAGGTAAATGACAGTTTCTTTTTATGGTGTATTTTACAGCAGGACGTTGGACTGAGTTAAATGTGGACATACTTAGCTTTTCGTCTGTGGTTTGTCCTGAACATAACAACGGTTGCTAAGGAGCTTAATGCTGGCTCTGGACAAATATGGTCGTTCCTTTCCTCAAACATGTAATTTGGATTCACTGCAAACAAGTGATAAAATATAAATGCTCGGAAAAAAAGTGTTTTTATTGTAATTTGAGATCATTTTGACAAGATTTGCAAATGGAACAAACAAAAATATCTTGTTTTAAGATCATTTATGACCTTATATTTGATCATTTTGCAGTGTAGTCCATTCGATGTTCTAATATGTTACGAGAGTGTTCTGACCATGATAAAGTAACTGCACGGTTCTAAACTTCCACTTGAGGAAATGGGAGGAGTCTGATCTGTGCTCCTGCTCGGTTGGAGTGAAAACCTGCTTTAAGGATCATGCTCCTCACTGTTTCATCTTTACATGTTTTTAAAGTTCGCGATTCGGTTCAAATCCATTTTAAAAACAGTTCTGTGTCGCTGTGTATCTAAGGAATATTCACTCTTTTTAACCGTCCATTTTCTTCCCATTAATCCATTTCTGGGTCGGGGCGGCAGTCAGAGCTGCAACCAGTACACAGAGCACCAGCCCCTAAATGCTCCTCCTGCTCCTCACTGGTCCTCACTGGTCCTCCTGCTCCTGAGTGTTTCCACAGAGTGTTTCCACAGAGGGTTTCCACAGAGTGATTCCACAGAGTGTTTCCACAGAGTGATTCCACAGAGTGTTTCCACAGAGTGTTTCCACAGAGTGTTTCCACAGAGTGTTTCCACAGAGTGATTCCACAGAGTGTTTCCACAGAGTGATTCCACAGAGTGTTTCCACAGAGTGATTCCACAGAGTGTTTCCACAGAGTGACAGAGTGTTTCCACAGAGTGTTTCCACAGAGTGTTTCCACAGAGTGATTCCACAGAGTGTGTCCACAGAGTGTTTCCACAGAGTGTGTCCACAGAGTGTTTCCACAGAGTGTGTCCACAGAGTGTTTCCACAGAGTGTTTCCACAGAGTGTTTCCACAGAGTGTGTCCACAGAGTGTTTCCACAGAGTGTTTCCACAGAGTGATTCCACAGAGTGTTTCCACAGAGTGATTCCAGAGTGTGTCCACAGAGTGTCTCCACAGAGTGTTTCGACAGAGTGTGTCCACAGAGTGTGTCCACAGAGTGTGTCCACAGAGTGTGTCCACAGAGTGTGTCCACAGAGTGTTTCCACAGAGTGATTCCACAGAGTGTTTCCACAGAGTGTTTCCACAGAGTGTTTCCACAGAGTGTGTCCACAGAGTGATTCCACAGAGTGTTTCCACAGAGTGTGTCCACAGAGTGATTCCACAGAGTGTTTCCACAGAGTGATTCCACAGAGTGATTCCACAGAGTGATTCCACAGAGTGATTCCACAGAGTGTGTCCACAGAGTGATTCCACAGAGTGATTCCACAGAGTGATTCCACAGAGTGATTCCACAGAGTGATTCCACAGAGTGATTCCACAGAGTGATTCCACAGAGTGTTTCTGGGCAGATCTGAGACTATTCCAGGCACATATTTAAAGCCTGTGTCATCATCTTTCCTCTGACAGGCTCTGGCTCTGGCTCGTCTGTCAGAGCCCACTGTCCTTCTCCACTTTCTGTCTCGGACCCAAAATACACAGAGAGCAGGAAGTGAGACTAGAAAGCCTCTGTCTCTGTGTTTGGAATGGGGACCTGTGAATGCAAGAGATACATTCTCTGTTTTCTCACACAAAATACACACAAGTGGATAGTGTGTAATAGAAACACATGTGAGGAGTGGATTATTCTTTTTCTCTCTGTTTTTAATTGTGAAGCGCATTGTGACCCTGGTCTGAGAAAGGTGCTATACAGATAAACGTGACTGACTTATTGACTCACTTTGGGCCCAGTGGGAGCAGAGGTGTCAGAACAAGAGCATCCATTTCTGCTTTACTCAAAGTGCAGAGTACTGTCTTTGAAACACTTTTAACATATATTATTCACACTTTTCACTTTTCACCAGGTGCTAAAACAGTTCTAGATAAATATGGATTTTCTTTCATTGTGTTCTGTTGGGGGGGGGTCATAATGGCTCCTGTGTGTCTGTCATGTTGGGAAGGGGAAGCATTTGACCCAGAGGCTGAACCAGACCTGGAACCTGCTGCAGAACCCTTTTGGCACTTTGTCTTTAGCACATCGTGTGGCACTTTGTTTGTCTTTAGCACAGCGTGTGGCACTTTGTTTGTCTTTAGCACTTTGTGTGGCGTGTAATAAAAATGAAGCTGTGAGAATGCTTTGCAGTAACATCTGATTGTGAGACTGATCGGACTGACTGCAGCTGAGCAGGACCTCAGACTGAGTCTGGTCTTAGTGACCTGGAGGTCAGAGGGTCCATGGCACAGACTGTGGGGGTTTCTTTGCTGAAAAGCACTCTCACCTGAATCCTGAGAGTTGAGCACCTCCAGTGCGTGCATCATGGCACTGGCGAACACATTGGCATCTTCTTTGCTTCCAAAGTTGAGGCCATAAACCTGTCGGGCGTCACGCCACTGGTGGAACGTCTGCGTGGCCTGATTATACTTCAGGCCTTTGGGAATGGCACAGTTTATCACCACCTGCTCAAAAAGACACAACCACATTTAAAGAATGAGTTGGATCTGAACAGAACCTTTGGATCAGTCCAAGTCAGTTTGTGAAGGTGTTTTTCTAAACCTTCCATAAGATTTCAGTTTAATTCTTGTTTTGTCTAAGTTCATGTCTAGACAAAGGTTTCTCGCCTCTTTAGGTAAAATAGGATTATTTGCTGATTGTTTTTGTCCAAAAACCTCCAGTGCTATAGAATAATATACAATAATCCCGAGCCACTGACCTGGTGGTCCTGTATTTTGCGGCCTACGACCCGGAAGGCGTTGTTCCCGGTGTGGTGGTAGATGTGGACCCGGCTGAAGCCGGTGGAGCCCCCTGCTGGAACCCACTTCTTGTTGGAGTCGTCGTAAACCATGACAGCAGCTCGGGCCTGACAGATGCTCTGTTCACTGACAACACAACAGACACCATCAGGCTTTAGTAGAAAGTAGTTTATCTGAGTTTATCTAAAGGTGACACCGAAAAGCAAGTGAAGCCGCTGAAGGACATTCGGTCGTTTGGGTGATTTTGGTACCTTTGTTTTATTTTGACATTAGTTTGCTGTGGTTTTGTTTTAGTTGTACTTCCCTTTCCCTGTGGATTGTCTGTACCACCCTCATGTGTTTCACCTGTGTCTGTACCTGTGTCTGTACCTGTGTCTCTGTGTGTCTTTATGTACCTGTGTCTGTATGTACCTGTGTCTCCCTGTCTGTGTGTACCTGTGTCTGTATGTACCTGTGTCTCTGTGTGTCTGTATGTACCTGTGTCTGTATGTACCTGTGTCTCCCTGTCTGTGTGTACCTGTGTCTGTATGTACCTGTGTCTGTATGTACCTGTGTCTCTCTGTCTGTGTGTACCTGTGTCTGTATGTACCTGTGTCTGTATGTACCTGTGTCTGTATGTACCTGTGTCTGTATGTACCTGTGTCTCTCTGTCTGTATGTACCTGTGTCTGTATGTACCTGTGTCTCCCTGTCTGTGTGTACCTGTGTCTGTATGTACCTGTGTCTGTATGTACCTGTGTCTCTCTGTCTGTGTGTACCTGTGTCTGTATGTACCTGTGTCTGTATGTACCTGTGTCTGTATGTACCTGTGTCTGTATGTACCTGTGTCTGTGTGTACCTGTGTCTGTATGTACCTGTGTCTGTATGTACCTGTGTCTGTATGTACCTGTGTCTCCCTGTCTGTGTGTACCTGTGTCTGTATGTACCTGTGTCTGTATGTACCTGTGTCTCTCTGTCTGTGTGTACCTGTGTCTGTATGTACCTGTGTCTGTATGTACCTGTGTCTGTATGTATCTGTGTCTGTATGTACCTGTGTCTGTATGTACCTGTGTCTCTGTCTGTGTGTACCTGTGTCTGTATGTACCTGTGTCTGTATGTACCTGTGTCTGTATGTACCTGTGTCTGTATGTACCTGTGTCTGTATGTACCTGTGTCTGTGTGTACCTGTGTCTATATGTACCTGTGTCTGTGTGTACCTGTGTCTGTATGTATCTGTGTCTGTATGTACCTGTGTCTGTATGTACCTGTGTCTGTGTGTACCTGTGTCTATATGTACCTGTGTCTGTGTGTACCTGTGTCTATATGTACCTGTGTCTATATGTACCTGTGTCTGTATGTACCTGTGTCTCTCTGTCTGTGTGTACCTGTGTCTGTATGTACCTGTGTCTATACGTACCTGTGTCTGTATGTACCTGTGTCTGTATGTACCTGTGTCTGTATGTACCTGTGTCTCTCCGTCTGTGTGTACCTGTGTCTGTATGTACCTGTGTCTCTCTGTCTGTGTGTACCTGTGTCTATATGTACCTGTGTCTGTATGTACCTGTGTCTGTATGTACCTGTGTCTCTCTGTCTGTGTGTACCTGTGTCTGTATGTACCTGTGTCTGTATGTACCTGTGTCTCTCTGTCTGTGTGTACCTGTGTCTGTATGTACCTGTGTCTCTCCGTCTGTGTGTACCTGTGTCTGTATGTACCTGTGTCTCTCTGTCTGTATGTACCT